AGATCGACTTAAAGATCGATTCGAATCACGGAGAAGAAGATCGATCTTTAGAAAATCGGTTTGTAAAGAATCGATTTCAGAAAATCGATTTGAATCGGTACGCATGTAGAGTGAACCACTCATTAAAGTATATTATCTGTCAAACTTCTACACTCTAAAGTAGACCTCGTGTAATTCATATAGTTTAATATGAATTAAAGAAATTAAATTTTAATATGAATTAAAGAAATTAAACATATGGTATTCTTTTGATTGTGTTCTGTGTGTGTGTGTGTGTGGCCAGAACAAAATAGAAAAAGATCTTTAAATCTTTGTGCTAAGGATTTAATTAGTTTGATTAAACGTCAATCAAGGGTTTTTTAAACGTTATTAAATAAGAAATCACGTTTACTATTATATGCATATACATAGTATAATAGTATACAATGTATACTATTATATGGAGTGGCTGTGATTGGTTCGCGCGTTTCGTTCCGCTGAAAATTCTCGCCCCATGGGACATCGGTCTAAAGGCAACATAATGTGCATTGTGCAACCATTGAGTGAGTTCAAATGTTACAACTAAAAGAAGTAAGAAAAAAACTATATTACTAGTAGAAACTGAAAAAATCGTGTTGGCGATTTTCAGAATTTATAGATCGATCCTTGAATCGATTCAGTTCCGGAAAATCGACTTTAAATCGATCTTTTAGACTCCGATTAATCGATCTTCGATTAAATCGATTTAAAATCAGCATCCTTAATCTTTCCTTGCGCGACGAATCGCCCGAGTTTGTCGTGTTTGACGAAATAGCCGGCATGGTTGATGCACCATGCGGCATCACCGTGGAGTTTTCATGCGCGCGGTTTCGCCATTGTGCGTTACACAGGAGGAGGCGGGCCGAGAAAAAATGCAAATTCGCCATCACGGTCGCGACGTGCGGCTCTCCGCGCTGCGATGACACGCCGTGAATTTCACACGAGGAGAAGCGTTTCTTCCCCGGCCGATGGAGTCCTTCGCCCGGATGGGAAAAAGTTTCTCGACGTCTGCCGAGGCGACTACTGATGAAATAATACTTCAGGAGGACGGACCAGTGGTAATCGCAGGAACGCCGGTGTGGGCGGAAGAAGATACTGATAACGCTCGTAGTATATTTCGTTCGAGCGGAATTTACTTGTTCGTACTTGTTGTTGTTGACTTTTCCGCGAGCGAGACTCGTGCTTTCAGCGCGACGGGATTAATACCGTCCGGGCGAAAGGAACCGCGCGCTGTTCCGTTCGGGATTCCCAAACGCAATAGGAAATGTAAGCTTTGTTAATGAATCGCGCACGTGTACTGACGGGAGAAACTTATTGAAAAGTGACCCCATAATAAGACAGATATTATTGTATATGTATACATTATATTTTTGTCCTGTAAAAATAATAAAAATATTAAAAATGTTATAGAAATATTATAAAATATAGTAATACATAATATTATAAAAAAAAAGAAAAGTTGCTACTGCGAGGACTCGAACACTCCTCGGACGTAGACGACAAAATATTAGCGTGTGCCTTAGTTTCCGCAGCTATCGTGCATCATAGGTGCGCGTTGGACATAAAAAAGCCTAACAGCTAGGGAGACCGCGGCGGAGAAGATGGAGTCTAGAGGCTTGTTTCGAAATCGGTCTCGGAAACTTTGGTTTTAGTCATAAGATTGGTAAGCCTTAAATTAACTTACAAGGAGATGGCGAAACATGTAACATCGATAATTGAATGAGTCATATTTCATTCGAATGGGGGGTTGAGTGCATAAAAACCCTAAAAGGATTTGCGTGCATGGGCCTTCGTTTGCGAGAAATTTGCAATTAAGAAAAAACAGCTCTACATAAGTAAGTGTAGTAATTTGGAATCAATAAGCGGGATGCGCGTAGCTGCCGGTAGCTGCGAAAACTAAGGCACACGTTAATACCATATTTTGTCGTCTACGTCCGAGGAGTGTTCGAGTCCTCGCAGTGCCAACTTTTCTTTTTTTTATAATATTATGTATTATTATATTTTATAATTATGTATTATTATAATTTACTTTAATGTATTATTATTGTTATATTTAATATAATATAATATAATTATACAATATAATTATATTTAATATTATGTATTATTATAATTTATAATATTTCTATAATATTTTAAATATTTTTATTATTTTTATAGGACAAAAATATAATGTATACATATACAATAATGTATACATATACAATAATAATGTATACATATACAATAATATCTGTCTTATTATATAAAAAATGACAAGAATAAACGTTTTAATTATTTATTATAAAATTCAGACATTACCGTACAATATTGTGGATGAAAATTCACATAAAAGCATGTAAAACACAGACAAGTAGCACACCACAAACATTTCTATAAAAGAATTATTTGTTTTGCAAAAACATTTTACATTATGTATGTTTGAAGGGAAACAAAATTGATTAACACATTTGAAAATACATCGCGTTCACGTGATGTTAACTTTGATGCATGCCAAGCAAAAAGTAACATACTTCCAAATGATGGAACGTATAATAAATAATGCGTTAACGATTGTATTCTGATGACGTCGTATCGATGTCTGAATTTTAATAGTCTTTAGGGGTTAACGTTCGGCTCAGGTGACCGAATATATTTCTGTGGTAACAGAAACCTCCTAAAACGGAATTCCTCCGCTGCGACCGAATTTTCAGTTGATTCCTCAGGAACGGAAGCTTTCGGTTGTCGTAACTAAACTTCAGTTGCCTCGACCGAATAGTTTTCTGCGTATGACTCACAGAGGTTGCAGAGCAGAGAACCTCAAGTTTATGCCCAAAAAATGTTACGCGATTGTGCCGTAGGATCTCTCAGGAATAAGATTCTTGGGGATGCATCGTTGCGGACCGAAGGCAAATAGCGTGAGAGGTTTGGCACGTTTTCCGCGACAATGAAGAAACTCTGGAGTTCCGCTGTTTGGTTGGTTGGGATAGATGCGCACGGATGCGGAGGGTAATAATACGAATATATGTGTTGGTCTCCGGAAGGTTGGGCGAAAGTTGCGCCACGTGACAGTCCTGTCACTCGCGACTGTATATTCACATCCTCGCGCGAACGTATACGCCTCCGTCATCGGTTGTTTCATGTAAAATTGAGGACGTAGTCGCTCGTCGTCGGGGCCATAAAAATATTCATAAAAACTTGTTCGACGTATTCTCGCCGGCAAGATCCAAAGGTTTCAAGTGGCTCACGGCGCTCGACAAGCGCCGTCGAGGGTGGATTAACGCAGAGTTACAACGCATGCTACATTTCTGTCGGTCGGGCTTTGCGTCACGCGTCGCTTACAAAGAGCGCACGACGATTCGTGAAAAGTCGGCTGGAAAGTGCGCGTGAACTTGTCCGCTTCTCTTGGCGGAGGGAAACGGCCTGATGAAATATTCGTCGTGCCCGCTGAACGCTGATCGCGAATTTCTGTCCCTGTTATCTCGGCCTGTCTCGATAGCGTTTTAATGAGATCTCACGCGCGCCTAGTGCAAAGTTCTGCGCACCGAAAATGTCATCAATTTCACATGCGCGGCAACTTCCACGTCGGCCGAACTTACAACTTGCGCGTACGCGGCTGCGTAGTTTCTTTATAAGTGGATTATTACTGCGCGATCCTGTAATGCAAATTTCGTTGCGACGTGCGGGAATTGTCACCCGCGTACTCCAACCGCGCGTGCTTCTTCTGATCACACGACCTCGCTTTCAAGGACTACGCCGGCGAGTCGTCGCACGAAAATCCCGCCACTTCCCACAGGCCGCGCTGGGTGAGTCAACGGGAACGTCACCAACGGGTCCGTTCTTTTCCGAACACCCCAAAAAAAGTATTCTACTTGTAAAGTGATTTTTCCTATCGTCTCATATTCTCTAAGCGAAGCCTTTTACAGAAAAAGGACTCCTCTTTCGATAAAGGGATTAAAGTGAACCATTCATCTAAAATTGATTAGATATTATTCTAACTAATTTTCCTCTTATATCAATTAATTTTCCTCTTATATGAAGAGGAATATGTTGATTTGAATGTCGGCTTTTTTGTTCAGTCATGCTCTACCTGCAGACATGAATGAAAAAATAACCATATACTATATGCATGGGTTAAAATATTTAGAACGCTTTTTAAAAAAGGTATGTGTGTTGCTGTAACGCACATAACGAAGATAATTTACCCGTGTTTGGTTAAATACAGTTTATAATCTATTGCAAGAAGTTGAATAATATATTCTTTCTTTCAACTATGTTTCATACAACTGGTTATGATGAACATTTTTGTAGCTATGAACTCCATAACAAAACTGATTGGAAATTTATTTGTTATGATGCTTTTATTTCATTTGTGCCTACTTATTGTAGAACTGGAAACAGAAGTACATCTATATATATATATATATATATATATATATTATTTTTCGTTATACATTATAATAATTTTTTCAAATTAATTAGTATAACGAGTAAAAATAAAGTCCGATAAGAATAAATAATCATCCTCTTAAGGAAAGAAAATTAAATAATCTATGTATAAGAGGAAATTTATATATTAAAATCAATAAAATTTGCATTATACATATAATATATAATCTCTCTAACTTTAAGAATAATGTGTTTATAATATTTCCCTCCTAATTTTAGAGGAATCCTCTTGAGGCCATATGTAAAAATAAAATCTTCGATAATCCCGCTTGTTCTGAAATTACTCTTCTTCAAGTGTAAAGAACTAAACCAGCGCTGGTGCATTAAGTTGAATGACAGGAAATACATCCGTTCCATTCCAACTTATCGCACTGGTTCGGAAGTCCTTCGCGAAAGAACAGACCTGATCACAAACCTCGCGCGCCCAAACGAGGGAGCTGCTGGCGAAAATCGCCCGCGGACCGCAAACCCCTGCGGCGAGTTGAGGTCGAAAATCGCGGGTTCCCGTTGAAAAAGCAACCCGTTGTTTCCGGAAATAACAAGTCGGCTCTCACCTGCGCATACGAGACGAAGCGTTGTGGGAAAAGCTCTCCGCTCCGCGAGCCAGCTGCGACGGTGCACATATGCGCAGGACTGCGTGATCCACCCCTTGGCACTTGGTCGCCGACGAGTGTCACACACGCGCACACACACCGACAGGGCGCGACGTCTCCGACCACCGCGGGTCACCCCGACGCACCATCACTGTTTCCCTCGCCGACGATTAAGCCTATTCGATCGGCGTGATACGCGGGCTGAACGGGCTGGCGGGGGGATGCCGAGGGTGGGCGACGAGATCGAGGTCTCGTCGGCAGAAACGGGCCGGCTGACTTTCCAACGAACCCCAGCCGAGCCTGAGGGCAAGCAAGGTCAAGGTCAAGCTCCGCTCCGCTCCGGCGGAACGTCGGCCGAGCTTCGCGTTTCACCGCCGCCCTGTCGTCGTCGTCGTCGTCGTCGTCGTCGTCGGGTCGTCCTGCGATGTTCACTGCAGCGCGCGCGGCCTGGCTGCTCACTGCGAATACATCTGTCGTTCGCGCGTGACCAGCATCTTCCGCGGCGCGTCTGACGGTCGCCGGGGCGGTCTTAATCCCGCGCGAGCAATCGGCGCGCGATCGATCGTCCCGATTGCCGCGAGCGAGACTAATACCGGCCATGGACGCGCGCTATGACGGCCCCGCCGTTATTTATCGCCGGCGCTCCGCGAGCGCGCCGAATGACCGCACGGCGAGAGAAATAACGGCGGGTGGGCGAGTGCGCTCGTTTGAGGACTTGCTCATTCGAAACGCTCTTCGCCGAGCGGACGCTGCGTACGCGCGTTATTAATTGCCACCGGTTGCTGATTGAAATTTAATCGCCGTGTGCGCGCACGAGTGCTCCTGGCGCCTCAGCGACGTCCGGCGGGGGTTTCAAGGTCGGAGGGAGGCGACTTCCGGTCCGGCGGGGACGGCTGGAAGAAATCGCCGCTCCTGCGACGTCGATCGCGGCGCGAATGTGCGTTATCTGTGCGCGGGTTCAGCCCTCGGTCGATCCCGAAGGACGCGCGCGGCGTCGCGGAGGAGTCGGCCTCATCCAGGATTGCTTCGAGAGTCGTCGGGACGAAGAGGTCATTGTTATCTCTCGACTGCGCCGCCGACTCGAGATATATTTTCGGCAGGTATGATGTTTAGTAGAGATGTGCGAATCAAGAATTTTTATGTCGAATTGAATCGAATCGAATCTCATTTTTTAAATTTGAATTCGAATCGAATCTATGAAATTTCATTCGAATCGAATGAAATCGAATCGGATCATTAAAAAATTTCACATGACTATTAAACATGCAAATAATGATGGAATATGAAAAGGAATATTGATATTATAATATCATCTTAAAGTGAAATATATATTTAAATATTTAAATTAATTTATAATTAAGTTATTAATTATAAGTTAAGTTAATTACAAGTTAAGGGTTCAAACATACAGGCCCAGATGGCCTGTTTTGTAGCTGATGCGCGCAAACGCTAATATACTTGATTCCTATTCGAATCTTCGCGGTTCGAAATTTTCGAATTATTCGGATTCGAATCGAATCGAATTACATTAGATTCTGTTCGATTCGATTCGAATTCGAATAATTCGCACATCTCTAATGTTTAGTGGATGTTCACCACCAATGTTGACATATGTTATAGAATTTATCCCTCCTGAGTAACATTCAAGAAGTTTCAACAGTTGACAAAAGAATTTTCGTAGAAAGTAGAGACTATTTTTCCGACACAGTGTATATTAAAAAATGTTCCCGCTCATACGTACTCCTTAACATTTTTTTATGTTAAACACTGTAACAGGCTCTGGTTGTGAAACTTTTTTGTTAATAATTTTTTAATAAACAATGATCATTGGAGGTGAATCCATATTTGCAATATTTTCAAAATGGCGCGTGGAGCGATACGATGCGACAGCGAGGAGCCTCGAAGATCAACGAAGAGACGGACGAAAAGAGAGAGAGAAAGAGAGAGAGAGAGAGAGAGAGAGAGAGAGAGAGAGAGAGAGAGAGATAGAGAGAGAGAGGGGGGGGAGGGGAAAGAGAGAGAGACATTAATTTGCATAGGATAGCGCGCGACCGCGGCGGCCGGCAGAATTTTCGGCGCGATAAGCGCGAGTTTCGCGTGCTCCGTTAATTGCCAGCGGCCGCTAATTGAAGTTCGCACGATGCACGGCGCGTCGCCGGCGCGCACAAGCCGGACTTTTTGGCCGCGAATTCTCGCCTCCGCGCGCGGAAGCCGGACCGTGTCGGAAACGCTCGACTCGGTGTTATCTCGCTGCGTCGCGGTTCGCCGGCAACGGCCACGGCGGCTACGTACGTAACCCACCTAGCCGTCCAGCTACTTCGTTACGCGATTGTCTGCGGCAAACTGCGCGCATTTACATCGGCGCGAATTATATCGCGGTGCATATGGATGCAACTGACAAAGCGCAAACGAGAGAGAGAGCTCGTCGGGGCTCCCGCCGCCGCTGCTTCGATCGCGCGAATCCGCCGGAAGAGAGCCTCGCTCCGAGTCTCTCTCTCTCTCTTTCTCTCTCTCTCTCTCTCTCTCTCTCTCTCTCGCTTTCGACTCGTTTATGACGGCGGCCGAGTTGGCGATCCGGTTGTTAAGCCGGAATGCGTGTGACCTTTCAACCTTCGGTTGCGTCGCGACCCGACGTCGTCGGATGAAGACGCGTGTCACCGGCAAGCTCGACAGGAGGTCGCGACGCCGACGGTATTTCCCACACGGAAAAATGCTCGGTCGAACGGAGGAGAATTTCCCGCTCAGGTACGAACGATACAGTAATTCTGACGAAACTCGCAGAATTCTGTTTCCGAGTGAAGCGGGAATCTTGGTAATTCCGGCTGGACTCTCTGATAACTCCGGCTGGGAATGTCCCGTATCGTTTATATTTCAACGGGAAATACTTTCACTCGACCAAACATTTTTCTTCGCCGCGACTGGACTGGAAGCCCGGCGGCGCTCGGCGGGGATGGAAATCGCGCGATTCTCTCGCCGTGTTCTCTCGCGTTTCCCGGCGCGATGCGCGAGAACCGACAATGGTCTTATCCGGACGGCTGCTGGATACGGCCGACGTGTTAATTGTGATTTAATTAGTATCGTCGGCTGAGCTCCCGATCAACGATGCGTAGGCTGAATTTCCGATTAGGGCGATTCGCGGCTCGGATCCAATTGCGATCGCTGTCAAAATCATGAAAACGGCAACGCCGGCGCGCGCGCGCGCGCTCGGGAGAGACGAGCGGCCGCTTTGGATATCCGCGATCGTGACGCGCGCGTTTGCATTGTGGCGAATTATATGAAATTCATATGTATATATTGGTAGAGGCAAGGAAACTCTCGTCAACGTTCCTGCCCGGCACTCTCTCTCTCTCTCTCTCTCTCTCCCTCTCCCTCGCATGGCATATGATTGAATGGTGTGCTTGTACAAACTGAGCTACGGTATGCGGTTGCTCGCAGCGCGAGAGCACACCGGCTCTATTCAGCGACCTATAGAGTCGTAGAGTCGACGTGGGCCGTAAGTTCTATCCACTTTAATTCAGAGTTTCCGCCGATACGCAAATCCACGCGTAATTGTATCGCGCGTCAGCCGCATCGCGTGTGCGTGCGCGTGCAAGAGTACAACGGAGCGAGTTACCGGTGAAATACTTCATACGAGAGCAGTGCGGAAGCAGATCACTCATTATTACAATCACGGGAGAAACAGGAGCTTGTACGCGCAGAAAACAAAAATTCTGTAGCGACAACTAGAGATTTTTTCCGTTGTACGCGGTTCGCTCGCGGCAACGGAAAGTTTTCTTTCGCGAGCTAGAGGACCGTTCACTTCAACGACTGCTTTCGATCGAAGGGACTCAAATTCTCCGTCTCGGAGATGTAGTTACGCGGTAGAGTATTTGGTAGAGATGTGCGAATCAAGAATTTTTATGTCGAATCGAATCGAATCGAATCTCATTCTTTAAATTCGAATTCGAATCGAATCTGTGAAATTTCACTCGAATTCGAATCAAATCGAATGAAATCGAATCGAATTAATAAAAACTTTAATCATTAAAAATCATTAAGAATCATTAAAAAATTTAACATAACTATTAAACATGCAAATAATGATGAAAGGTTTTTAATATGAAAGGGAATATTGATATTGATATAATATCATCTTAAAGTAAAATATATATCTAAATATTTCAAGTAATTTATAATTAAGTTATTAATTATAAGTTAAGTTAATTACAAGTTAAGGATTCAAACATACAGGCCCAGATGGTCTATTTTGTAGCTGATGCGCGCAAACGCTAATATATTTGACTGGTACTCGAATCTTCGCGATTCGAAATTTTCGAATTATTCAGATTCGAATCGAATCGAATTATATTAGATTCGATATTAGATTCGATTCGAATTCGAATAGTTCGCACATCTCTAGTATTCGGTTACTCTCTCGCAAAAGACGCGGAACTGTATCGTATATGTAAAGAGAAGTGAAATCTCAGCGAAGAGATTCGTTTAAAGAAGATAAATGACGCTGTCAATGATGCGATTATTTAAATGTATACATTTAACAAAATTGTCGATTTCCGATATTTGATAACACAGACGGAGCACAGTTTCGGAAAAATACCGCCACAGTTTCGGAAAAATAACTCAAGCGAAGGCGCATGCATGTAGGAGAGAGGCTCGCAAAAATATAATATACATAAATAAAACACTGCGTTAGCGGAATTAGTTTAATGCACAATTAATACGATTAATTCGATACTTTCGCAACGTTTTTTTTCTTTGACCGCGCACTACCGATTTAGCGACGCTTCTTATGCGTGTGCATGACGATTAATCTGATTAATTCATCGCCGTAAATCGCTTTAACAATCGGCAGAGAAATATTTTGCAGTGACAACTAAAAATATTTTCTATTACATGCGGTTCGGTTGTGGTAGCGGAAAATTCTCTTTCGCGAGGTCCGGAGGATCGTCCACGTCAACGACTGCTTTCGATCGAAGGGACTCAAATTCTCCGTCTCGAAGATACAGTTACCGCGGCAGAGTATTCGGCTACTCTCGCAAAAGACGCGGAACTGTATCGTATATGTAAAGAGAAGCGAAATCTCAGTTACCGCGAGCGAAAAGATTCGTTCGAAGAAGCTGAATGACGCTGCCAATGATGCGATTTCCAACCAGGTCGCGCAAGTATTTTCCCCTTCCACTTACGTACATGAGGACGCTCTGCTTACTCGTGTGAAGAACGAAACTTGCACCCTTGACAACATTGACTTGTTCGCTTCAGGTGAGCGAATATATTTCCGAGACAACAGTAACCTCCTAGCCGAATTTTCAGTTGATTCCTGAGGAACGGCAACTTTCGACTGTCGCAACTGAAATTCAGTCGGGTGGTTTCTGCCTGATGAGAAATACTTCAGGATCGAAGAGTTGAAGCGACACTCAAATATCGAGCACTTAACCCTTGAACACTAGAGCGGCTGAAAATTCACCCGATGATACTTTTCAACTGTTGCCACTAGATAGCAGCATATTACACAGCGGGTTCCTGCTAGGATTCATAATGCTCATAAACATCTTCAACCGTGCTCAAATAAAAGAAACTTTTTTTTCTTTTACAGTAAAAGATTATTACTTTTCCTTGAAAAATATTGTACATGATTTAAAACTGTTTTATTTGCAGCGCTGCTGCAAATTTCTATCAAATATTCACACATACTCAAAATAAAAATAAAAAAATTCTGGGTGAAAATTCATGCGTCCTAGCAATAGGAAGTGATAAAAACATCCTAGTGTTTAAGAGCTTAAACGACGCGCCGATGAATCTCGATTAATGACGCCAGATGTTAGAGACGAGAAGAGAAACAGCGAGACAGGCAGGAGGGCGAAGGGGGAAGACGCGGAAACGAAGGGAAACCTCGCAGCGCAGCCGATACCCAATAAAATCCGCGCGCGCGCGGAGGGCGCGGCGGTTATACTCGGCATTAACGCGGGACAAAATAATGCAGCCGCCCGTTCGCGATCGACGATCCGATCCGATACTATAAAACCGCACTCGAGAGAAGAGCAGGGGGGGGCGGGAAGAGGAAGGCCGTCTGCATACTTCGCCGCTCTTTTACGACTTCATTAAGGCGCCGTTACGAGCTAGATACCG